ATAACCCCTTCACTAAGTGCCAGGCGGGTAATTAATCACTTTAACTATGAACAATCATGCTTAAACTACATAATCTTTACTCCCTGGAATGGAGATAAGAACCGCCCTAACCTTTGTAATAGAAATTGACAGGATTAAAATCAACTGGTATAAATACGGATGTAACAAGACAATAAACGGCAGAACTTCTCTGGAGATCCAGACCAGAACTTGGCTGGAGATCCTGGCTAGGCTGCTGATCAACTGAACGCTGTCTCCGTGTCATTCCTTCTTCGCCAACTCTGTCCACACCTTTGGGGACCCCTGGACCTGCTGGGGTTAGACCCCAGCAATAGAACAAACATTCTCTGCCATAAAAATATTTAGCAGTACACAGAAAGCAGGAGAGCAAGGGGACGGGGTTGAGAATGACGGAAAAAGAAGGTAACCCTTGAAGATTTTTTAAATAGTGAATATTTTTGTGAGGTTTCTTGCATTACCAAGTGGATGGAAATATGAGGAATTTTTTCAAGCATTTTCTTGAAGTGAGCAGATGATTTAGCATTAAAATCGATTCACAAGGTAGGACAAGTAGGGGCTGGGAATTGGGGGATATATGGGGAAAGTGGGAGACATCTATAATACTATAACAATATATACATTATAAAAAATAAAATTACTAATTTAATCTCCTTTTTTTAAAAAAGTAGAATGTAAGTAGTCATTGTATGGATCTTTGTGCCTGTGGGAGAAAAGCCTAGACGACTTCAGAGAGACATAGCATTTTCTTTGATTCTTCAGATTTGACTCCAAAATCTTCTGTGCATTCTTATTAGGTTCCCTGCTCCATGGAAAAATGAACTACTGCCTTATTTATGTCTTCCTCTCAATCATACCTATACGATATGTATGTCATTTATTTTATTCTTAATTCCTATACTCTTTGTTTCTTGAGGATATGACCCTGTCTTATGAAATAATTGTTTTTCTAGAGACAAGTAAATAGCATGTTGCATAGTGAGTCTTGAGTGAATGCTTATATAAGTATGTAATTATAGGTATAAATATATTAAGACAGGCTAAGTAAAGCCTTTATGCAGTCCAAGTAAATTGTATGATTATAGTATATATTTTTGTGTAATGATAGCAATTATTATTGCTTAAAGTGAGTAATGAGAAAACATGATTCTACTTATGCTACATCATTTTCTACACTTAGCATTATTTTCACTAACCAACTACATTAGGTACCAAATGCTACAATGTCTAGGCTACTCAGAGATTTGCAGATCATTTTCATTATGTAAGAAAAAAGTAAATTGAACATAATTTAGCAACCAATTACATCTCTAAATTTCTCTTTTATGCCATTGTTCTAACTAATGTTCCTTTCTGACTCTTCACCCACACAATGTGTTTCTCAGATTTACTTGCCAACTAGACTCCAGGTAGATTAGGTCCATTGGAGGAGTGGAGGGAGGGTAGTGCTATGAGACAGGAAAGGTGAGAAAAGCCAGAGTTTTCCTCACTGACTAGCATATTCCTAAATGGTATCTCCCTGCTGTGGCTACTTTTCTCTGTGGTGTTAGCTCCCCACTAGACAGCCTCTCTTGAGTTCTCGTTTTTCCTCTAGGTGACTATTGCTTCTAGTCTCCAGTAATAAGACATTTCCCTCTGTCCTTGAGGCCCTGAAAGTGTTAGGGGCTTCTTGCAATTACTAATTTTTTGGTGGCTTCACTATTCCCTGCTGGCTTCTCAGCTTTTTCATCATTCATTATCTATGTATTAAATTTCCTCATTTAAATTAACCTAGAGTGGTTTCCTGGCTGGTCCCTGTCTGATTGGAATTATAGTAATTGACTGTTTTTAATGTAAATTTAAATTTTATATTTTCCAAGTCTGACATACAGAACCTTAATACTCCAGCTACTAATGGATGATAATTAGGCAAAATATTCAGAGAAAGTCATGGATTCATTGTTTTCAGATATGAGAAGGGAAGACCTCTTTAAATTTATAGAATTCCTACTGGCAGAGGTACAAGAAACTGATTCCATCATCTCCATGTATGTGTCCTAGTTGTCCCTAAGGGCCATTAGGAAGTCAAGCACTATAAGGGCTTTGATGATCATCAGAAGTCACTGGTAGTTACTATTGTGTCAGCAGCTATTTGTACACAAGTCCCTAAACATTATAACATGGAAATAGATGTGGGAGTGAAGAGTGACAATAGAGACGGAGTGATGACCAGAGACTAGCTGATACAGCTAAAGAGGTGGCTTTAAGAAATCATGCTGGGCATTTTGCAAAGAAACTTGACTGACATTCTTGATTCAGTCATTTATTTAGCTGTGATCTTGGGCAGGTCATTTAACTTCTCTGGGCTTTCTCTTCTCTCCTCTAGAGGATGGAAATCTATTTATCAACCCTGCTACTTGGTTTTAAGAATGAAATGGAATAATGTATATGAAAGCTTCATGCAAAGGATTAGTATTATTATCAAATGTATTTTTTTTTTTTTTTTTAGGGAAAAAGTTACCTTGAAGCCCCAAAGAGGCTGACTGGTAGATATGCTTGATGAAAACAAAATTTGGGGCAAGTCAATGCAGCAGTACAGAATGGCATAAATTATAAATGGGTTAGAAATAATTAGATTAAGCAAAGTAGTACT